GCGTGTGTGTTTAGATGTGTTTGTTTATGGGTGTATACTTTTTTGTGGATTGAAGTTGGAGATGAAAATTGAAATTGAAAAGATGCATTGTTCAAAATGTGTTTGTTTATTTGTGTGTGTTTTTAGATGTGATTGTGCATGTGTTCGTAACTTGTATGATCCTTTATATACTCCATTGTTTGAAATTTGTTCGTCATCTGGTTTTTTTGCCAAAGGATGTTGTCGTTAAGATGAATGAAGCATTAGTCACGTCTTTTGAGATTGTTGAGATTTAGAACTTAGTTATGAAAATCCTGAACATGCAAGGAGCTGCTAATGATGGAATATCATCATTTCCACTTGCTGTTCTTTTGCTCGTCATTAAACTCATTTAGGTAATCAAATACAGTAGTACTGCACGAGAATACCAGATTGATTTGGACTGCTTAAACATCAATTAGTTGGGTTATGATGTCAATTTCTAGTTTCTTGATTTCAGTATTCTTCATGTGTGAATATGAACAATCTCTTGATACATATGTCGTGAACTTATATCCTTGCTTCACGTTTCAGCATTCAGCACTGTGGTCTCTATCAAAACCATGAATTCTTTAGGTGTAACTTATAGGAATCAATATTCTGTGGGCTAATTTGAAAAAGGGATTGACCATTAGAAATTAGCTTTAATATTACTTTTGGTTATACTTGATATACACTTTCAGTTTATAATGCGTAATAATTAAAATATTTGGAGATTGGTATTCAAGAAGTGTGGCAATTTCAATGTATGCTCCTCTTCAATACGTTTTTATGCGCAACATTTCTTTCTGTTGTTGCAGAATCAAACTTTGTCGAGTGTGGATGAAGAAAAGAGACGTATCTATCCATAGCTCTTTGCAACTGCTACAACTAGACGAGGTGAAAGCACTTTCTTCTCTCTTGTTTTTGTGATGTACGAATATGTATTAAACTTATCTCGCACAAGAAATTCACAAACCAACTTGCTGCTTTGCATATCTCTTTGATTGCTTGGTGCGCAATTGCATCATTTGGTATTTTCGATGTAGTTATAAAGGGGAAACTAGTCTTGTTTGCTTGCCTTCCACTGTAACGGTCATTTTTTACTTGGTTGCTTCGATGTGTTTACATTCGTACCTGTTTGCATGGCTGGCTATCAAATGACATTGTAGAATTAACATCCACGTTTCCACCTTCATTGTGATTTTTGGGATGATCGGATTTGGGCATGTTCTACATTTTCATATAGGGCACCATGCATATGTAACATCTAAGTTTTAAATCGTTTTGTGAATTTTCGGGAGCCTGATTTTCCGCTGTTATGTAGCAAGTTTGTGGGTTGGGGCACCATGCATACGTATGCCATATTTATGTTGAAAACTGTCGTTCCCGACATTTGCCTCCTGTTATTCTCGACAGTTGGCTGAACCCCGACAGATGAACCGTCGTTCCCGACAGTTAGCTGCGGGCATTCTCGACAGATGACGTATGCCAATGTAAGGCAGAGTGCAGTCATCTGTCGACACAGGTTTCGATGACAGTGTCTCGACAAATGACGTTGGGCACAGACGACACTGCACGTGCGTCGAGAAACAACATGTTTGTCGAACATTCAGATGTCATTACCGCATGTATTTTCGCACATTACAAAAAATTTTGCTAACATTTTATTTTGCTTAATATTGCAAGCACAATTCGCCATAATAAATGTTTACAGCAACTTCGGGTAGATGATATGTTCTTATACGTTTTCTGTATTACTTGTTCCAATTGATTTTTTATGGTCTAACCATTATCGTTTCATCTGTAGATATTATGGATTTTCAATTTCTGGTGCCCAAGAATGTACGGTTGCCGGCGCGTATCTTGCAACGAAGCAACTTGAAGTACATAAAAACAGTGATGGATAACTTCGACTACCGACTTCAGGTTGACTTTCGCGACTCCTGCCTTGGGTTTCTTGCTGACGTTCCGGAGATCCAGTTTTCCGCTCAACTGATCCAGGCATTGGTGTGACGAGGGATCCGTTGCGATAAGTCCCATGAGTTGTGGTTCAACGTATAGGGCCACCTTACCCGGTTTGGACTGCAGGAGTATGCTATCGTCATTAGACTGCATGCTGGGTCATTTTCGGAGGGCGATCGGTACACGAAGGCATTGGAGAAGAGGAGGTTGAAGGAAAATATTTCAAATCGCTGGAGAAGATTTCATGTGCCCAGTTGGAGAAGGCCTTTCTTCGCGCGTCGACACCCCGGGCAGATAGATACAAGCTCGGGCTTGCTCTAATTGTGGAAGGAGTTATCACTGCTCCGGACAATAATGTCGGCATTGATGAGGATACGCTTGCCATCGTTGACGACCTGGAGCTGTTTTTTGCGTACCCCTGGGCGAAAGTGGGGTATAGGCATTTGTTGAAGGGAATTCGGGGTACTTGGGCACGTAAAATGAGCGATGTGAAGATGAAGAACGAGAAGAACGTCAGTTACACAATTCACGGATTTTCGATCGTCATGCAGGTACGAACAGCATTATGTTTATGTGTTTTGTTTGTCAGTATTAGACCATGCCTCCATAGTGTTTGGACGGATATTAATGCGACATTTGTTTTGTTATCGTTCGGACAGATTTGGGCATATGAGGCCATGCCCGAACTCGGCGAACGCTTTGGTGAGCGTGTGGGTGAATGCTCGCCCCGACTTCTGTGCTGGACCTCCACCAAACAACCGCAGCAGTGTACATACGGTGCGTTCTTCAGGGACGTACGGGTCATGGACATTTTTCATTTGCCTTTCCATTGTTTTGTTTAATTGGGAATAGTATGCATTATATTTAAACTACATGTTCTCCCTTGTTTCTACAGCTGCATGTGCACGCCACACTGCATCCCACAGAGGCCGAGCACGATCTGTCATACATCGCCAGTTTGGTGCCGTTCTCCGACCGTCCAGTGCAATTTTTGGATGACCTCGCTAGGAGGATTGTTGGCCCACAGTTCTATGAGGTCGCACCAGCTAGTGGGAGAGATGACGATAGCGATGCGGGTGACGGGCATGCTGACGAGTCCGATACAGGGGCCAAGGACGTTGACACATCCGCGAGTGATGGCCATCACACACCGGAGGACAGCGGGGAGGATGGGGCTAAGCCTGATGACAGTGGAGAAAGCGGTGGCGACCACTCCAGCGAGACCGGTGGTAGTGACAGTGGGAACGAAGTGGATGCCTCGGGACGACAGTCGGGTACATTACCCACTCCAGTGGTTGCCCCGTCCACATATGGGGTTCAAGGTACGCGTGGTGGAGCAACTATGGCGAGGAAGGACGTCGAGGGCATGTTGTATGACCAGCGCATCCTCTTCGAGGTGAGGTTGCGGACCGTGAAACTTGAAATCATGCAGCACGTCACCGAGGAGTTCGCCAGACTGAGGGACTTCATATCTACCTTGGTGCCCCTGTCTAGTGGCATCTCCACTTCCGCTGCAACTCCGGTAGTGAATGAGCCAAACCTTTGGGACGACCCCCACGAAGGTATGTGTTTATGTTACTGTTACTTCCATTTACAACATGTGTGCAATTTTTCCTATGTGTTTGCTGACAAATGTTTTTTTGAAATTGTCAAATTACTTAGATGTACATGGACGCGACATGGACATGTGCCCGGATGACGGTGGCCGTCCTTCCCCTATCAGGAACTTGGACGTGAATGGTATGTCCGTTAGTTCTATGTAACACATTTTTGGTCTTCAATGTCATGTCATATCGTGATATGCTAGTCTATTGTATTTGACTATAATAATAATTTTTTTTTTGGTTTCGAAGTAGACGGGCAAGGCAGCGACGTACGGAGCCCACATGATGATGTCCGTACTGACGACGCCGAAATGCAGGAGGGGAACGGTACGTGCGTAAATTTTGTATTTTATGTCATGTCATCTCCTGATATCATTCTTGTCGTATTTTATTCGCCTGTACTTACTGTCTTCAATTTCAGTCGTTCTATAATTTCTTATTTGTTTTCGAGTAGTCGGGGAAGGCAGCGACAAACGGAGCACACACGACGACGACCATGCAGACGAGGGTGAAATGCATGAGCTGAACGGTACGTTCGCTATTTTTTTTAACCTTCTGTCGTCTCATTTCGTCATACGCATATGTATTCAATTTCACTCGTTCATTCATTTGTTCTCTGTCTTCCAACTAGACGGGGAAGGTGGAGACGAATAGACCCCAGAGGACGACGACCATACGGAGGAGGGTGACATGCAGGACAAGAACGATACGTGCCTAATTATTTCCTACTTTTGTGATTTGGGTTCTATTACGAAACACTTCCCCCTACGCAAATGATAATTTATATCTTCTGTTTGTCCATTTCACCCAATTTCCTTTGAACTAGACCCAGGAGAGACAGTCCCTACCCTCCCCAGCGATTACGAGGAAGGCCCATTGACCCATGACGTCACGGAGGTGGATGGTATGTGCTTTTTTTCCCTTCACTAATCTGATTCCACGACTATGTGGCGTTGTTCACACAGAACCTTTTCACTAAATTGTTGAAATGTTTTATATGGGTGCTGTCACAGAGTTGCTGGCACAAATGACCGTACTGGAGAAGGGAGGCAATGTGGGCAGCGCAAATAGGCGGCGATCGACTCGTGTTCGACGTCCTGCACCACCTACCCGGACGACATACACGAGGGGAAGGGCAAAGAGAGTAAAAAAAATGAGTGAATTGAAGTGGTTTGGTAAGGTCTGACGTAGTAGTAGATACGTTGTTGGTAACAAAGACATGCTTTGAATTTGGTTTGATTTTTGGACTGATACGTTTGCTCACCCATATGCTACACGTTAAATTGTCTTATGTACAGTACATTAAGGATTAGTGCAAGCATGGGATGGTATAGTCGGTACATTTTGTGTGTATGTGTTGATGACATAATGCATATGCTGTTCCTGAAATATGCTACAGGTTAAATTGTCTTTTGTAGAGTACATATCGTTTTGCTATAATACATGTTTAGTGCAAGCATGGGGTGGTAGTGTCGGTAAATTTTGTGTGTATGCGTTGACGACATAATGCTGGTCTTCTTCATGAAATGTGAAAGGGTACATCAACATCATAACTAAAATGAATATATCATCATTCTTATACATCCCAGTCATATGACTTGTCAACACGAATGTTAGAGTCCTCACAAAAATCTGCACATGTACTCGCAACCTCAGCATGAAGTGCAGAGTTGACTCTTGGTCAGGTGGGATTCCTTCCTTGTCCTCAATTGTAGCTTTAACATTATCGCTGGTGTCAGAGCTTTCACCTTTACGGGTTATTGTCTTCCCAGTAAGGGTTTTGACAATAATCTGCCTGTCACCACCAATCCTCGACACGAACTGCAATGTGGACTCCTTATGAATTTTATAGTCGCCCGAACTAAAGCCATCCGAAGCTATTAACCAGCAAACATGAGCCTCTGTGTTGGTCTGGTGCGATTCCTTCGTTGTCTTATATGTTGGTTTCACCATTATATTTATGGCCTGTATTGTTTATGAACCCTTTCACATATCATAGACAATACAAGCCATAAATATATTGGCCTGTAGATTGCCTGCACATTTTCTACTCCATGGGTGAGTACATTTTCTAGTTCTTACGTTGATTGGATGGATAGTTACGAACTTGCTCTGCTCTGTCATTTCAATTTACTGGACACCTGATGCAGGTAGGTAGCTGATTAATTCGGAGGGATGATTTTTCACATATCAAAAACATTTCATCGAGGTGTGATGACGATTTTTTGTACAATGATGAAGAGGTGTAGTTAATAGCACCAAATAACACCCAAAGGGATCCAAACCTGGGTTCATGCCTGAAGGTGCAACTGTGGAGATGATTACATCGTATCACATATGATGTAATCGCTGATGATGTGAACGGGGTTTATGAGATTACTTCAGTTCCATATGGGGATATGGTTAAGTGGAACGCACATTCAGACATGACATTCGTTTGTACTGTAATTAAGTTGATGTTCATCGTACTTGATGTAGTAGTAGTATTATGTAATTTTATTTCATTGGAGTTGAAGGTGTTATACCTACACAAATGAGTCATGGTATGAAATGATCTTCTGTGTAATGGAGTGTGGTCGAACGATCGAGGACAATGATTATTGTAAAAGTCGCATTATCGTAGAATGAAAAATTCGGTGTTATCTTTGCTACGTTGGCCCTAACATTGCAACCAATGTATGTTTATTTCGAAATGCGTTTTAGTATAAATTCGCTTGTTCGTAGAAATTAAAGTTTATTTTAAAAATGGCTTGTAAAGTCATCCAATGTTCATCTTCATTGACAGGGACATTAATTTTATCAATTTTTCATGCAATTCATTTGATTCAGAATTCAAAAACAGTATTCAATTGTGACTAATGAGTGCATAAATTCTGTTAAGTAATGTAAGTACAAATATATTGCAGGAATGTTGCCATTGCAGGTATTGCACATGGGTACAATTTAGTCATAATTCTCACCATTTATGGACTGCATTAAAGTACACTTACACCCTTAACCATCACACCAATGGTCAATCAAGTGTTAAGTAGAAATGAAATGGTGGTTGGTTGGTAAATTGCTTTAAATGTTCTCATATACCTCCAGTATAAAGCAAGGCTTGCACTCTTCAAGTGGGATATATGAAATTCTTTCAGAGGCATCTTGTAGCAGGAACATATCAAAGTATTTGAAGTCTGTTTCTTCGTACGAAAATAATGGCATCGTCCACGGGAAGCAATTCACTGCTGGCACTTGAGGAGCCGATGCCGACACCCTGTTCAACCTCGCTATGTCCCATCGTAATTTCTTCGGACGATGACGAAGTGAGTTCGAATGGTGGTAGGAGAGCCATCAATGTCGTTCCCTTTCCCTGGACGAAGTTGCAAGTGATGAAGGTGAGTCTCTGAGAAATGTGCTTGAATGGGTCGTCCCATTTATGGATGCAGACGAAGATCAACGTTACGAGGATGAGGGGCAAGGTCGCGTTCCATCGCCCGAGGTAATTGTCATCAGCTCGGATGATGACAGTGGGGAAGAAGGTTCAAGTGTTAGCTCCGAGTGAAGAGTCCAGCTTTGTTGCGTGTGTGGGTTTCTACGTATGTATGTATAGTGGTTTTTTGTAACGGATGGATTTTGTGACGCTTAACCAATTCTGTAGCAAGTAGGAAACTCCCGTTGGCAAGTTATGTGTTTTTTGTATTTTGTTAAGCGGAGCGTCGCACAACTGTTGAGAATGGCAGGCACCATCTGTCGGGAACGACAGATGAACTATCGGGGTTTACTGCCAAATTTTCTGTATATATAGTATGCATATTCATATAACATGTAGTTTGGGTGAACGAACACAACCTAATATGTACATTGAACGTAGTTTCTGAACTTTACGGACAGTGTTATGCGCTACAAATAATTTGTTCATAATATGCATTTCAAAGGAAGCTTCTATAATGGTAGAACTTTTCATATTCCGTACATTCTATTTACATATGTCAACAATCGCAACAATGTTATGCATAACAAATTTGTATTTTGGTTCGAGACAGTTATGCAGTGCGATGTGCCTATTTGCATTCTAGAAATGTTAACATAACAAAGAGTAATGTTTACACGTAAGAGAATGAAAACATTAATAGAATATTTACATTGTCATATACAAACAACAGCGAGGGAACACTTCACTTACAATTTCAACCAGTCACGTACAAAATGCTGCTTACATCAGACATGGTACAGTGTGGTTCGAACATGTGGTCCGGTTATGACCAAGTCCACCGCAGCGAGTGCATTTCCTGAGCCGTGTGGTGTACTCGTGTCTGGATCGCTTACGTCGTGTGGGTGGTCTACTTGGAGGACGACGCACACTAGGGGGCATAATAGGAGTACCTGTAATTTCGAGTAAAACATTCCAGCCCACTTCACGCTGAATAGGATATATAGCTTCTCCGTAGGCACCCTTCCAGTACTCGGATGTGTAATACGATGAGCAGAGATCGTACAATGACGTACCTCTCAAGCAAGCAGCACGGGTTGCATGAATGCACGGCATACGATTCAGCTGGAACTCACGACAAGTGCACGTCTTTTTGGAGAAGTCTACGATGTCCGTGTCGTTGGATATTCCAACTTGTGTTAAGTTATTTGTCAACCCATGCGCTCGCAGCCTAGTACCTGCTTCGAACGTCGTCCGTAACTCATTCTCCATCGTTGGTGACAGAATGGTACTGCATGCAGTTGCACTTGCTCGATGTTCATAAAACCACTTCGCATAGTATGCCAAATGTGTTCCACTAAGCACGTGATCGGTAATGAACGGGCATGTCTCAACATTGAGTTCAAAGATTCTGCGTTGTTGTTCGTCAAAATGTTGTACCGTTGGCCAACAAATAGTGCACGTGACCAAAATGGAAAACCTGCTCGCTCCAAGTACCCATAGCTATTGCACTAACCCTACGAAGCTATCCCAAAAGTCTTTCAAACTCTTCGATCCGGTAAGTTCTTGCGGCTCTTTTGAATAGAAATATTGAACTTGCGTTGTTGTACCGCTGGATTAAATTCTTTTCCATATGCCAAACACAGCACCCGTGGTGAGCCCAAGGAAATAGGTGAGCAATGGCATTTTTAATACTATTTTTCCTGTCGGAAACAAACACCAATTCGTCCAAGTCACCTATAAGATCTTTCAAATTTGATAAAAACTACATCCACGATCTATTCGTTTCGGCATCAACAATCCCCCACGCTAACGGATAAATCTGTTTGTTGGCGTCTTGGGCAGTTGCCAGTAGAAGGGTACCTTTGTATGGACCTTTCAAATGACTGCCGTCAACACAAATAACGGGCCTCATGTACTGCAAGTAACCCCGAATGCTTGCACCGAACGCTAGGAAAAGGTAGTGAAACCTGTTACGAGAATCTACTTCGATGTGCGTTACTGTCCCCGGGTTACTCTCTCCTAGGACGTGACAGTACGAAGAAAGTTTTTAAAAGCTATCACCCGGGGTACCATGTAGCAAATGTAAAGCAGCGACCTTTCCCCTACGGGCTTGATGGTGACTAATTTTCACACCAAACTCACGTTCCATGTCGCGAGCAATAGCGGTAGGATCATACGATCCGTACGTATAATCCAATTTCCCCATAATCTGCTCAGCAATTACGGAACTAGTGGCATGTCGATGTGCATTACGATGATAATCTATGGAACATGTGTGCACATTGTTGAATTTGCGGATCATGAAGATGACGGACTGCTTCACACTCGAAGCACGTAACATCCACTTACAATTACCGTCGGCACATACAGCGGTTAACATTTTTTGGCTTGACCTGTTAACCTGAAATTGAAACTTCTCTCGCAACGCAAGTAGACGAATTCTCGAGTACAACTCTTTCTTGGTAAAAAATATTTCCCTTTCGGTAAGATCCGACGTATTCACAGTGGAAATCTAGTCGCATGTATCCGGACTTTTGAAATGTGATAATAGTTCTTCGTCAACGTCAGCAATATTACCAGTATTTGTACCATGTAAGGGATCGTCGAACATCTCATTTAATGGTGCAGTCTGAACATTGAAAATTGGAGTATCCGCTGCATTATTGTTTGGGACACTTTGCTGATGATTGACGTCGTCGTCCTATACGGTGTGGTGATCTTCCGCTGCAGCGAACAATTGTTGGCTGTAATTTGTATCCCTTTCCATTTCAACACTTGGCAGGCTGGTTTCCAAAGTCGTAACGCAGAGGGCAGTTTCCTTATGAACTGATATGTACCAATTTACGTCTTCATCTTTGAGTATTTCGACCAGCGGTATATTCATGTTTGGAACTTTGAATTTCAATTCCAATTTTATGCGCGGATCGAAAACACCAAGTTTCTCATTCAACCGTAACAATAGCTCTGGTAGTGTGATACTGCTCGACACTAAAATGGAAGTGGTTTTCTCCCCAGCCACTTCCATTCGTCATTCACGTAAACAAACTTTCCCCCGTGCGACACGATGAATCTCAAATTATTGTTCATACCTGAAATGTTGGGAATGCAACGATAAGAATTATGCACAATCAAAATGTCGACTATATAATAGCATGAAAGTGACACGTTCCAATATTTAAACCTATGCAATACTACAAGGTCAAATTAAGGGTGTCAAGAATTTTCAGTTGTCCAATTCGATAGTTTACTTATCTGTTCCGACAGTTTATAAATGTCGGGTACGACAGTTCAAATGTCGATCCCGACATTTTCGAAATGTCTAGTTCAACGGTTCGAGTGTCGGAACTGCCGAGAAGTTTCAAATGTGTTTGGTAGCATTAATGCTTATAATCATTTCTTCAACTACAGCAACTACAACATCACAACCTATTTCCAGAAATAAATGACTGAATGCTTCATTAAATATGGAATACTTCACATTTTCCTAAATATTTTGGGTATATTTTTCCTTCAACAATATTAAAAAAAAAGACTATCATGTTGTTTTTAACATTCTAAAAAAAAGTAAGCTATTACATAGAAATATAAACAATTCGTAACAACTTACCTTTCAAGATAGATGAAGAAGATGGTTGAAGTAATGTCTTTTTCTGGAAGAAGAAAATGAATGAAGAAGATAATGAAATAAGGGTTTCTTTCACAATAAATTTGTTTTTTAATGTTAACTAGGGTTTAGAAGGATTTTATATTCATTTTTTATTAACTAAATTCGTATTTTACAATATAATATTCATATTTTCAATGATTATAACATACAAAGTACACAATCAAATCACAACATTAATTATTTTGAAAACCAATAATGAAGGAGCATTAAATGCTCCAAAGAAGTCAAATTAAGGGTAATTTAGATATTTGATAACAAGAAAGTGACATTTTTGTACAAATTATGTGCACATCAAAGTTTTTGGTGCATTTTCAAAAAAAGTGACATTTTGGTAAATTCCCCTTAAAAAAAATCTATTATTTCATACAGTTGATTTTACAGCATGATTTTCAGAATAAAGTGGATTTATAATCAGTTGTTCTTGTTAATGTTTGATTCAGTTCAGTGAAATCATTTTAATGGCATGTTCTATTTGTATTACATATTTCAGTATATTTAAAGTTATTTTAAAAGCACCAGAAAGTACCTAAGTGATTTTACCCTAATCTGCACTGGTGTGAATGTGTTTCTACAGTGTATGATCAGTTATGGTGATTTTACCCGCTCTACACTATTGTGAATGTGTTTCCATTGTGTATGACCCAATTATCAGAGGTCTTTGGGACCCACTCTCGTACACATATAGGCTTTAGGTAGGGATGTCAACGAGACGAGCCGAAATTCTAGGCTCGGGCTCAGCTCTTGTAAAATATCCGAGCTTTTTTTCGGGCCAGAGCCGAGCCGAGCAAAAGCTCGGCAAAAAAAATTAGGCTCGACTCGAGCTTTTAGCTCGGGCCGGCTCGGGTTTTGTTTGGTTTTGGAATTTTATTTTATTTTATTAAATAAAATGGCAGCTTAAAATTAAGCTGCCATTTAAGGCAGCAACCTGCTGCCCTATTTCTGGCAGCACGCTGCCTTTTATTTTATTTATTTTAATTTTTTTAAAATATATGCTCTGAGCCGGCGACCCACACGGGTCGGCTCCAGCTTTGCCTGGCACCTAAAAATAGGGCTCGAGTTTTTTTCGAGCCGAGCCACGGGCGGTCCAAGCCGACGAGCCCGATTGCCATCCCTAGCTTTGGGCCATGTACTAGGGTGATTAGCCTTTGGGGCAGCTCTGCGTACGTATGACCAGATTATCAGATGTGAATGGACCTGCCTTGTACTTCGAGATTACTCTGTACATGAGTAAGGCTAATCATAGGGTACCTTTTTGGTGTGATTTTTCAGTATTTCTACAGCTTATTAGTTTTCAGATTATAGAATTCAGTTAATTCAGTTTTCATAATAAAGCTTTCAACTTATAGTATTGAGCAGCAGCAATTTCATAGATTTTTATGGATATCAGATTATTTATAGTCATTATATTATACAATTGCTTTTTTAGAATTAAGAACAAAGAATTTTATGATACAATCATGATTAGTTTTTAAAGTGTACTAGATTCAGAATTTCTCAAAAATTTATTAAAGTTAAAATTTTTAGAAAATATGCATAAATGGAAAAGTTTACTTATTTGCAAACTATTTACTCACTGAGTTACAAACTAATATATTTTGTCATGTTTTTTCCTATCAGGAGATCGTTGATTTTGAGATATTTGAAAAAGCCTGCTAAAGTCAAAGAGACCGTTTCATAGTATATAATGTATAGTTGGGGACTCATGTTTATTAAGTACTTGGTATAATATTTTGTTTGATGTGCATTTTGTAGAAGGGTTTGTAATTGACGTAATGCTTGCTTGTAGACATGATGCTGATGTAGAAGTACTCAATCGAGTTTAGTTGTATTTTGTTTTAGTCGTGGTGGTATTAGTGGAAGTGGTGGTTTCCAAAACTTTTGGTTTGAATGTCTATTTGAAGTTTTGTTGATTTTTCAGGTTGGTTTTGTCCATGTTTAATGGAAAACTCTATCAAAGTTTTAATATAAATATATCACAGTCAAAGTAGGTCAAGTTTGTCTTAGTGGTGGGTCTGGCATTTAGCTAGCATCTACCATCGGTGCACGACACGTGTCGAGTCAGATTGGTTGAGTCGGGACGGGTCATGTCAATTGGTATCAGAGCATGGTCTTAAGAGTTTACAAGTAACACTGCATGTATCTGATGTTTGTATATCATACATTATTGTAGGTGAGTCATGCGTGGTAGGGGCAGAACTCGCAGGCATCAAAATTCGGTATCTCAAACTCATGATACTCCTGAAGGAAAACATGATGGAGGGGTCAGTGGGGCCGCAGAATCAGTTCACCAATCTCAGGTGCAACATGACCCTGTCACCGATAGAATAGCTGCAGCTATTGCTTCCTTTCTACCCAATACAGATAGAGATAACTCTATTGAGAGAGCGATGAAACTCAGGGCGAAGTTTTTTATGGGTACATCTATTCCAGTTGATGCTGAACTTTGGATGTAGACTTTGGAAAGCATATTTGATGTGATAGAATGCTCAGAGGATAAAAAATTACGCATTACTCTATTTTTATTGAAGGGATGAGCTGATGACTGGTGGGTTTCGTTTCGAAGTCGGTATCCAGATCCTAGTATTGTCACCTGGACCATTTTCAAGGAAGCTTTTTATGAAACATACTATCCTCCATTTTATCGTGATGCAAAACAAAATGAATTTTTAAGATTGGTCCAGGGGTCTATGTTGGTTGCTGAATATCATGTAAAGTTTGTAGAACTGTCTAACTTTGATGTAAAGTTTGTAGAACTGTCTAAGTATGCAAGTGCTTTGGTTGCTGAAGAGAGAGATAGGTGTAGACGGTTCGAGCAAGGATTGAAAGCAGAGATTTGGCCTATGGTTACTGCTCATGGGCATCAAAATTTCGGTATGTTGGTTGAGGCGACGTTGAGGGTTGAGATAGCTATTCGAGAAGAAAGTAATCAAGGAGAACAAGTGACCTTCCAAGGTGGTAGTGAAACAGGAGCTTTAGGAGAAATGTTTAAGAAGAATAGAAAATGATTTTGGCCAGGTGTCACTAAATCTGGTGGTTTCAAATCTAAGTCTGGGAGTTCTAATTCTAGTCAGGGATCAAGACATAGCCAGAGTTCTGGACAGCAATCGGAGAGGAGCCATTCTGATGTTCTGGGTTCTTCACAGAGAATTCAAGGAGCGAGGCAGAGTGAGGCTTCTGATCATCAGAGCTTTCCACAATGCTAGTATTGTGGAAAGTTTCACCCAGGTGAGTGTCTTCGAGGGGTTGGAGTTTGTTACCAGTGTGGTCAGATGGGACACATAAGGAAAGATTGTCCAACCAGATTTTAGCGGATTGGAGCATCTCAGATAGTATCTCCTCAGCCAGGGATCGGTACGACCAGACAAAATAGGGATCAAAGAGCTCCATCAGTAGGGTTGATGGGGGTCACACAATCTAATGCTGCTTGGAGTAGCGCTTCTAGACAGGGAGCCCAAGCAGGTCGATCCAGGACTCAGGGCAAAGTATTTGCTATGACACAGCAGGAGGCATAGGAGTCACCAAATGTGGTAGTGGGTATGTTATCTATTTTTGGTAGAAATGCTCGTTCTTTAATTGATTCTGGTGCTACAGATTCCTTTATTTCTCGTGCACTTACTAGTTATGCTGATCAATTGTCAGAGCCTTTAGATAGCGAATTGGTAGTAGCGACTCCA